CTCGTGGATCAACTGTGGGAGACCTTACCAAGGTGAATCCCGCGGGCGTCACTGAGGCAGCCCAAAAGCAAGACAATGTCCAGACAACGCAGGTCTTGAATTTCTAAACATGCAGTTAGTAGGTTGCTCTCGAATTTTGAAAATCAGACCCACCATCAACATAGATTTCCTCAAAGCAGCGCTGAATCTGCTCCGCTAGAGCTTTGTTATTTTTTAAAGTCTTCAGCAGGGCACTGACGCGGTCCAACTCGTCGATCTCTTTGCGCAGCTTCTTTTGCTTTTCATAGCGCTCAAATGTTCCAAATACTTTCTCACGCTCTGCCTCAGATGTAAAGGCGGGAGAAGCTTTCGCGTTCTTCTTGACATATTCTGCGCGGTCCAACGACTTCAGGCTTTTTGCCGTGATACTGGAGCCTTTAATGACGCCCATGATCTCTGCGAAGAGGAGCTCTGGAGAGCAAGATGGTGGAGCTAATCCACCTAGAGAGCCCCAATATTCTGTTTTGAAAATGCTGAAGTCAATCACTCGTGGCTTGTTTCCCACTTGTGGGTCAATATCCTTTGTCTTATTAGGATTGACATCTCGTAGGAAATCTTTTCGATCGGCCATTCTACTTCAAGTTAGCGAGGACATATTGACAAGTGTGGCATCGGAGATATTTCAAACCTGATTGTATTCTCCAAAAGCCCAAGGAACTCGTCGTAAGTACAGACGACCGGGAAATGCCAGTTCTTCAGGGCAAAGAATGAAGTTGGTTTCAAGTCCGAGTCGACATCTTCTTCCGTCGATGGTGCCTTAGATTGAGCATCAATCAGACTTTTGGCATATGTTTGAAGCTTCGAGGCCAGATAGGAGGAGCGAGTTAAGAGAAGCTATTCATGTCAATTCTCCATCCGCCGTTGTGGGAAGAGAAAAACATACCTGTCGAGCTTGCTGCTCATCTGAGGCCGACTGTCTCGCTTTGTGCTTGGCAAGCATCTTAAACAGTAGACAGGTGGTTTTCCCTGTACCACTTCGTCCTAGAATCAAGGTCGAAGTGCTAAAGTGCTTCACAATCTCCAATTCTTCCGGCGAGAGATCAAACGGAAACTCTTCCGTGCCATTCTTATCCATGATTGACTTCAAAAACGGCTCAGTGAGATTGTAAAACTTGTCTTGAAACTCATGGTTAGCTTACAGCATATAAGACTTGGGATCGATTAATGGGAAGAATTCATACTTGACATCTCAATCAGAGCAGGGCTGCATTTGGAGGAAGAAATGGATTTCATTTGGTGAGACTCAGTCTCTTTCACATTTTGGAACTGCTGTGGTGTCCAAGTTCCGTCGGATTGTTGAACAGGGCGTTCCAAACAGAGTTGAGCAAGTTGAGGAGTGTAGGATTCCTGAATCGAGATTATTTGCTCAATGGCAGTTTCCAACTTTAGAACTCAGTTAGCAGGTTTCTCATATTATTCGATTTTAAAACAAACCTCCTCTTCCGATGTCACGATTTGCCAAACTGCGAAAGTCAGCATAGATCCGTAAATCTTGATTAAATAGTTTGAGACACTTACCTTTGACAATCTGCTGCTGCACCCATGGAAGCTCATCGTAAAAGCCGACATCAACCTGCCACAGGATTGACACAGTTGCGGAAGCGCTCACTTCCAAGATAGGAACTTGCATTCTTTTCTTCTGTTGTTTAGATCCCACACGCCGAGATAGATCTTTGCCTTTCCATTCGCCGCTTGCCAAATCTCTGAGCTTTTGTTCAACGCCGCCAAAGTCTCCTAGATGCGGTTAGAAATGACCAATTTGCGCAAGCTGGAGAAAAGCAGGTGATTGACTTACCTCCGTGGACCAGTTTCTTTGCATTCTTGAAAGCGATGTCAGATAGCAAAACCTTCCACAGACCGACTCTTTTCCCGAAAATGTCCTGGGTACTGCCCGGTGCTGTAGTGCGATCTGAGGGCAGGTCTGTCGAGCTGGCCAGGGTGCCTGCAAGACTGCCGATAGTGAGCCTATCCAGACAGATTCTGCATGGGAAGCTTTCCAGGGCAGAGCGCATGAGTGCGGGTATTATCTCGTTCTGGAGCTGCTCCCCTGTATGGGTGAGGCCTCGGGCGGACAATGGCGGGGGGGAGGTTAAAATGGTTCATCTGTTGAAGGATCTCATCTGAGACCTTGAACTCGTTTTGGTGCGCCTTTTTAGTACCATGCTGTGCTGGAGTCAATTTCTTGTCGTCCCGATTCAGCACTTTCATTGATTCCAGCGGAGGCAGATTCTCCACCTTGACTCGTTTCAATTCTTCTTCGTATGACGTGTCGATAAGTAAGTTGACCGATTCGATCAGTTTCTGAGCAATATCCCAACTCTCGACAATACCCCCGTTCCGTGATCAGCGGAACAGGCCTTGCACATGGAGATTAACCTGTCTCCAACCTGCCTGGAGAGAGCAATAGGAAGGTGATTCCTTTTTGACAACAACCATTCCTTCAGAACCGCAGTGTACTTTTCATTGGCCACCAGGTGATCGAATAGGTCGTGTGATGAGAGGAGGGTGTTGGTCAAGTCACATAGAAATTGAGAGTGTTGTTTGGTGATGAGAGGTAGCGCGGCTCCAACGAGTTGGATCATCTGCGACGGCGAGAAGATATTATCGTGAACAAACGGGAGGACCATGGTCTTGAAGATCTCCTCGGCAACAGGACTTGGTAGCTGCTTTGCTCGTAAGATCTCGAAGGATCTCAAAAGACGTGAGTGTGTCTGGTCAGGTTTGAGAACAAGCTGATCATGGATTGCTCCATCTTGCATGGCTCGCTGTAAGCGAGTGTAGTACTTGTCGATATTCGAGAGAGCATGGTTGTATTCGTGAAGTCCAGGCTTCTCCTGCAGCAAGATTAAGGTCCACGGGGTCTGTACAGACGCCATTGTGGTGTGAGAAGACTCAATGCTTGTTGCTTACAGTTCGAGAAGCTGTTCGAGAAGCTGGTCAACACAAATGGGAACCGATAGACGCGTCAGGCGCCTGGTAAAAGACGGTGGGGTTTTTTCGCTTTTTTCGTGTTTCCTTTTTTTTTCGGATTTTCTGGGGATTTTTGGTAATCAGAACTAGGACAGAAAATGGTACGGCGAGGAAAGCCAGGCGAAGACAAAACACTGATCAATTGATGGCTTGAAGTGATAAAGATCGGTGTGTGTCGAAGAGGTAAACAAGGATGAGAGAGAGGTGGAAGAGGAGAGAGATCAGGGTCATATGGCCAGACGCGTGCCTTCCAAATCAGAGATGTCCCTCAAACGTGTACAGTCGCTCCTTCCCTAAACTCTCTTTGTCCAAAACAAAAAACACAAACATCTCTGGATGCATTGCAAACATTAGATATCTCCACGCTCATTTCCAAAGTTGGAATTGTCAGGGCCTAGACAAGTCACGAAGGTCACTATATACTATCTGAGAATAACAGGAGCCTGTCTAAGTGTGGTGTTCAATTACCCGTCTACGAGAGAGAACAGTCAATATTTGAAGAATGACATACACCCAAAGATGAGGCCGGCTGAGCTGCATTCATAGAGCTGCCGCTATTTGAAAGTAAAGGGTCCTTAGCAATATAGTCCATAAAGATCTCTCACAACTCCATCTCCAGCAAGCTGATTCCGGGGTTGTAGATATCATGTTGCATGATATAGTTAGTCCTTCACTACAATTACACTTATGCAGGCTAACATGCTAGTGGAGACATCCATGGACATCCCGAGGACCCCCAGCATGATTTGTTGTGGTCTTCAGGCAAATACTCTTTCTTATATGGTTCATGGAGGAAGTCAGAAAGCGAAAGCTTATGTCTTATCCAGCAGTTTTCCACTTGTATCTGGCGCTCATTGCTAAATGCGGAGCCATATCTAATATTCCTTCTTAGGCCTAATAGTATCAAGAGCATCATTCTAGTCACATTACACAGGTCTGCTAGCAAAATGATTGCAATAGGATCATCTTGTGATTCATCAGAAAAGTCGAATCTGGTATACTTCCACAAAATCGGAGATAGTAGAGAAAAGAAGGCTGAATTATTCTGGTGTGGCTAAGCAGGGTAACACAGAGCCCTCATATATGTGAGCAACAAACACCGGCAGATCCTACACAGCAAACCAAAGAGTTTCACAGAGGTCTGTTTGGTGCTTGATGCTGTATCTAGTCCTAGCACAAGTCCACTGGTACATATCAAAGGACATATCAAAGGTATTCAAAAGAAATCACTGTCGAATGGTAATCATAATGTCAATAATGTGATTATAAAATACTTCTATATTGTTAAGTTGAATAAGTGGAATATTCTACTTCTATACAAATAACTGCCACATCATAAATCGGTAAGACCCCTTCCGATTTAACAATTCAAGAATGGGGAGATATAAGCGGTGGATTTTCAAAGCCAACAGGACTAAAGACAGATGCACTGCGATATATATGTAGCTCGGGTAGACTCGACAATAGACGAAGATATAAAGACCAGAATCTCGTTTCGAATAGTTCTGCTATGCAAGTCTTTACCCATTTAGTTGGCCTTGTCTTAATAGGGAGATTTGCATCATGTATTACTGGCATTTTAAGGGCTGATGCATTTGAAAAGAAAGAAAGCAACGTCTGAACATGCGTTTTGCTAGGGCTCCTTTTCCCAGGATTATCAACCAATCAGATCCACCCGAGGTCGGATAGCTCAGCTAGACAAGCTCGGGGTGCATTGTCCTGAATCTTTATATTGAAGTTCATCACATCTCAAAGGATTCGATTTGAGAATATATTGTGAAAATGTAAAGAATAGATCCCCGATCTTTTGCCCATGTCTATTTGTGAAAATCAAAATAGAAATCAAATCAAAACTTCATCAAAACCAGGTAGGTGCCGAGACGGGCACGTGTAAAGATGACTAAGCATACATCACCCGGACCGGAGACGGCGTGACGTTGATTATTCCCCGCGGGAAAGAAAGTTAACTTCTTCATATGCCGATTACCGCCATGGCCACACCGAGGCTGCCATTCCTGTATCCGAATTTGATGCGCGCGGTGCGATCATGCGAACCGAGAACATACCGCTCACTTAGAATCCCATACCGGCCCACTCAACGCTTCCATACGAGCCAGCAACGGGAGCGCGATTCCTATCAGCGGCGATATGGTCCAGCTGTCGAACCGAGTACCGCTCCTTCATTGCGTCCGAAGAAGGGCCCACATGACCAGGTCCAGGAGGTGCCAGAGGGTCCATCGGCTGGACACGAGGCTGTAAATGCCTCCGAGCAGGAGGAAGCTTCGCCGGCAGAGTCACAGTCGGAACCTCCACCACAGGAAGCCGAGCAAGGCACCGCAGATGTCGCTTCTTCGAGAACCCCAGCCCTAGAGCAACAAACTAAAGCCCAAGCCGAGTCCAGAGAAGACAACCCCCCTACGGACCGGGAACCGCACGAGGAGCAGACAAAGGACATAGATGGCGCCGAACAGGAACAGCCTCCCCCTTCTTCTTCGTCTCCTCCTTCCGAAAGCACCTCGGAAGGAAGTACAGATAAATCTTCGTTCACAGGCCAAACTCCGTTCGAGGATGTCCTCCACATGCCCTCGCCGTCTGTTTACCTAACCCCAACCGGGGAACCCTCCTCCAAAGATCGCCCACCACATTTGTCCCCAGCACCGTATGTGCACCCTTTTGACACATATTCGTTGGTACAGGATCTGTCAAAAGGAGGGTACAGCCAAGAGCATTCTACTACAATCATGAAGGCCGTGCGGGCTATCCTACAGAACAACCTGTCCCTGGCCAGAGAGAGCCTTACTTCCAAATCCGATGTCGAGAATGAGGAATATTTGTTCAAAGCGGCCTGCTCTGAGCTTCAATCATCGCTCCAGACAGCTCGCAACTCGGAAATACAGCATCAGCGCTCATCGCGCACACAATTGCAGCACGAAACGGATATAATCTCGCAGCGTCTCAGCCAGGAACTTGCAGGCATGAAAGATGACATCAAGGGCATGTTCAATGATCACAAGATGACAACACGAGAGCAGCAGCGGAGTATCGATACCTCGGTTCAAGAATTGAACTACAAGATCACCGTGTCGCTGAACAGCGATGGAAAGAGTGAGATCGAAGGTCTTCGATGGATTTTGACCAGACGCGCTGCTTTGACGATTGCCATCTGTGCTTGTAAGTGACCCATCATTTCTAATTCGTTCTTTCGTGTGGCTAACTCGATTCTAAGTCATGATCATCGTCTTCTTGAAGTATGCTTCCACGCGCAAAGTGCCCGAGCCCAAGCAAGTCAAGGAAGCCGAGAAGCCGCCCGTCAAAGAAACCACCACTGAAACCCGAGTCGTCCAAGATGGTGCAATTCAGGCAGCCGTTCCATCCGCTGACGGACATCTCGGCGAATCCCTTGGTTGAGATCTTGGACATAAATCCTCGCCTGGTCCACCTCCCTTCATTATCCACTTAATATTTCCACTCCCCATGTCTCATAGCCATCGGCCCACATCCTCTTTTCTTTCATTTGTCTTCGGTTTCATGTATGCATCCACTTGACCGGTCTCTTTTACACCCCTTGTATCATCACCAATTAGACAAAAGCCGATATATATTTTACCATAACATGGCAAACCCACCTAACCAGGTATGTATGTACAACAGCCTCGAAAAAACACATCTTCACTTCCACACATCAAAGCTCAAGTCCTAAATCCTCGACTATTCTTTAACCCAAGGCACCTCCTCAGGACGATACTTATAAGCCCTAAACACGGCATTGCTAAGATAATCAAACCCAATCGCCTCCATCTCCTTCAACTCCTCTTTCTTCATAACCTTATAATTTTCCATCTGCGGCACAACAAACTCCCAAACAACCTCACCCCCTTCAGTAACCTCCATAACCCGCCCACTAGCAGCCTCACAGACCAAAACATTCCCCCCAACCAACTTCTGCGCAGACCCCATAAACGGCGTAAAGAACCCTAAACCTCCTGTGGAAAAATCCTTATACTCCCACTTAACAACCCCTTCCTTTGAAACAACAATCGCCCTCGAAAACGGAACCGAACCCCCAGTCCTGAAAACACCATTATCAAAAATCAACATATCCCCCACCTCATTGATCTCATGGGCACAATGCTGCTGGCTAACAACCGGCGCACCAAGATGCCATTTCACCACACCCGTAGCACGACTAATACCAAAAACACTCGACGCATTCCTCGACGAAGCAATGATATCCCCGGCCGAATCAAACGAAACGCTATTGATGAGTGGCCAGTGCTCGCGCGTGTAGTGCTCATGCGCAGCAAAGACAGCAGGATCTAGGTGGTCGATTGCGCGCCATGACCAGAGGAGCTTGGCGCCGGTTTGACCGCCGCTGCCGTCGAAGTCTGCGGAGGAGGAGGTGGTGCTTGTTGACCAGGGCTGGACGAGTTTTATGCAGTCGCCGTAGATGGCGCCGTTTGCGGCTTCGGTGGATGGGATTCCGCCTTGAACGCGCGCTGCTTCGGCGCTGGTGAGTGGCTCAAGCGTCGTGTACAGGATTGTGCTGTCGTCGAGGTGGTTTTGGTCGTGGTGTGCGAGCGGGTCGCTGTATTGGCGGAGGATCTTGCCGTCTTGGCTCACTTGCATCATTATGCCGCCCCGGTACTTCGCCCACATTGGGAAGAGGTTGGGAGCATCTGGGTGTGCGCCGTTGTAGGCGAGGTTGCCGTCGGCGAGGATGCGGGCGTGCCGGCCGGCACGGTGGGGGGAGGGTCCAACGGTGCACTTCTTTGCCTGTTGTTGAGACTAGGTGTGCGGTGTTTGAGGTGAGAGGTGCGTATAGAACGTAGCCTGGAGAGACGCGCTCGGCGTCGATTCCGCGGAGACCGAGGCCTCGGCGGCGGAATGTGTGCTGCTCCATTGGAGATGGGTCAATTGATCAAGGAAGTTCATTTGAAGAAAGGGAAAGCAATGCAGATGTAGGAGACTTTATGTTTAGTGAAATTGTGGGAAGTGGATTATACTCGTTGTTTCTTAGGGTATCCCGGACCGGCATGCCGCGGTATGCCGCAGGAGACAAGTATTAGCCAAGAGACGTTCGATATGGCGCGAGATTTGCCCAATCATGGATAATAATATGTATAGTTCAGTGCGCAAGATGTTATCGATGAATAGATAATATGGCCGATTCCCTATCTGTGCCGGCGTGATTGTGATCTGCACGGCTGTCTGGGTTCTCTGCGTTCTAAATATTACCTGGATCCATTGCCTCGACACATTTATCTGGATCCCGCATTTGATTGTGTGGTGGGTTCTTCCCAGATCACCGCGAAGACCATTCGCGGTAAAGGCTTCCATCGGATGCTAGTGATGTGATGTTCCGTAGGCCCGGGAATCACCCCTGTCTTCTCGCCCAACGAGTCTGTTGGTCAAAAGTTCGCTTTTCTTCCCCTTTCATATTCATCAGGCCCCGTTCTCGAAGTTCCGAAAAGAAGTTAAACGCAGCGTCGAACGTATCAGGATACGTCCAGCCATCTCGTTTCACAAGACCTTCTATACTGTTAAAGAAATCCTGGACCTCATTCCAGCCCTCGGCATCGACGGAGTGGCTATGTAGTTCATCCTGCGTAAAGTGATAGGGACATTCGCCTTGGATGCCAAGTTCTTGCCAATGTCTGGGATAAGCGATCAGATACAGTCCGAAAAAGGAAGATGACAGTGTTTGTGATAGCTACCTTTCAACGTTAATAAGTGCCTCACGAAAAGAGACTATATCATCATCCCATGTGTTTCCAGCAAATTCGACCGGTAGATGCCTTGTCTTTCCGTGATCTAGGTGGAACGCTTTAGCAAGGAGGGGGTTGCGCTCTTTGGTTTCCAGCAGATAGAGCTGATATAGCGTCGATTTGAATATTTTTTTCTTGATCTCAGCTTGCTGCTCAGGGTCTAGATCGTCAAAATTGTCTGGCCGTTGAAGTAGAATGCTGCCTAGGTAGTCCACGATTGGAGAGGGTTGAGATTGAAGAAGGAGTGGACCTGCCCAAGAGCCCTGCCAATCGATGACAGCCGTTATACGGCCATCATCTATAAACAGATTAGATGAATGAAGGTCTTCGTGCCATAATATAGGGCGAGTGAGAACGGGGTCAATGTCTATAAGGGCAGGGGCCACTCTAAGATACTTCTCCAAGAGCTGCAGATGTGCCTGTGGACTGTTTTGAGCTGAAGAAATCAGGGTAGCTTCGCTTGGTAATTTCGGAATAGCAAAATTTTTGATCCACTCGCGTTCACGCCAGCCAACACTTAGCGCATATTCTTGGGGCGTTTGCCCTGATAGGAATTAGTAAAATAGACAACTGGAACAGCCATACGAAAACGCTTACAAGGACCCCGTGAGATCTGCATCGACGAGCGCTCCTTATTCCAAAAGCTTCGGTCGACGGTAGGCCCGATACTGAATTTCTCGTATACTCTCTCTTTGAGTTCGGAGGAAGCCCCGTTGGTGAGTAGCGCTGGAACTGCGCTTTCCACTGCATCGCTCGCGAAATATATACTACCAAAGCTGACGAGATGATCAGATTTCGCACCCGCGTATCAATGAGTAAATGGACATACTGAGAGAATGACACCGCAAGCATCTTTGACTCGATAGCCACAATCTCCCTCATAATAGAGAGCTTTTTGTCCGGAGTCAACTGACCCCAGATGACTCCAAGCTGTGTGCCAGATGCCTCTTCCATAATGATATATTCCGAGCCAACGGCGTTGTTTGATGTGGCACTCCAATCAAAAATTCGAGGCACGGGAATCTGAAGGAAATCTCGAGCCTAGGCTAAGCATGAACTAGTCGCCCTTGCAATTCAATGGGTTCGGGTGAGCTTACAAGCTCCATAGTAGCGACTTCGGATGCAGTTGTATAGAACGCTGGGCCAGCATTTGGGTTTGGTATACGAGCAATCACTCTTTTTCCATCGTTCATGGTCAAACGGAAGACCTTATTATATCCTCCTTCGGCCAGCTTCGTTATGGAGATGCAGCTGTCTGATCGAACGGCTTTAGCCGCGAGGCTTTGCAGCTCAGCAACGTTAAAGACCTTATACCTATCCCTGAGCTGCTGTTCTTCATCCCAGAGCCATCGTCCACTGGTATAACGGAAGAAGTGCTCGTGATCAGGATTTGATATTATCATTTGCCCGGAGAGACTCGTGGTCGTGCGAACGATGCGAAACGGAAGGGTAGTGGTCGTTGACTGGAACCGAGGTGGCGCTGAAAAGAAGGCAGATGTTCGTGGTTGAAAATAACAAGATGAACAGTTTCTCAAATTTGGAAAAGCTGAAACTGCACGACGTCCCATGTCAATGTTCATTGCTTCATGCTTCATTGGTAGTGTCGGCCACACGCGCTTGGTTTCTCGGTCCGTACCCGGAACTACGCTAACTACTTTCATCCAAGGGGTAATTTAATATATTACTTATTATACAGGTACATACCTACATAGGTAGTAAGGATGTACGCCAAGCCAGCGTACCCCCACTTTAAATTGGTTACGGTAACCTTGTTGTACCCTCCCTAGTCAGAACCTTGGAATTCTGTCAATGTGAATCCTGCATATACTTTTGGGCTAGTGAGCTTGGCGTTTTATTTCATCCGAAATACCAGGTTGTTTTTACAAAAGTACTTGCAAATTGGTGTAGATGGTATATGTAATACACTGCGCTAGTAAGAGTTTAGCCTGTTCTTGGCGGAGCCACGCACGTAGTTAATTTAGTTGAGGTACAACGTTATTATGTATGTGTACCTACCTGCAGCCAACAGAATTAGAACTAAGCACATGTATGAAAACAATGGGTATTTAAGCTTCATGGCCTCAGACACTACATACCGCACACGCAGATTAGCTCTGCAGGAATTGAACTTTCGATAAAGGGCTAGAGACGTGCACAGATTAAAACTTGCAGAAGGCTGCGTAATATGCCAGCTTATGTGACCTTAAGGCTTTTTAAAACCCTAAGCTGCAGATGGGGTGAATAAGTGGTTTATCATTACTTGCATAACCATAGCCCTGTTCTCTGGTATAGCCAATTGATAGCCTCTTTTTTGGTGCGAGAGTCACTAATTGTTTGTTAGAAAACTTCTTGTACAGCTATATCGTTCCAATCCTGCCCGTCATGCTCACGGAACGTCTCCATATCGATCCGTCCGAGGTATAATATACAACTTCGCTCGTTCTCTCTACCAATGCGTTCGTCTCTCTTCTTACAGCAATTCCGACGGGTTATCTTGCAGACAAGATTCCAAGTCGGCAGGTGTCGCTTTTGGCGTCCCTTGGATTAGAGGCAATAGGAACCCTAGTGATTGTTTTCGCGACAAACAGTACTTTTCTTACCAGCCCCCTAAGCCATTGAATAAAGTGCTAATTCATTTCCTCTTGCTAGTTCCTTTACTGCTTGTCGGTAGATCTATACAGGCTGTAGGTGGTAATGCAGTATGGATTGTTGGCATCGCAACTATCTCTGATGCCGTCGGACAAGAAAATACAGGTAAAACAATGGGAGTGGTTTCTTCCTTTTTCCTCTCTGGGCTACTCTTTGGCCCAATGTTCTCCGGTACACTATTGGGGCTGGTCGGATACTGGCCTACCTGGATGTTTGCCATTGCAGTGCTTGTCATCGACATGCTTTTGCGAGTAGTCATGATCGAGGGTCGACCTGCCGGCAAAAAGAGACCAGTAAGCCTCCAATCGGAGGAATCGGATGAGTGCTACTTGGAGTACGACATCTACGAACATACTAACGAACAAACTGCCCTCCTTTCTTCGTCATCAGGGGAAAGTTCAAATTTAAAAGACAGCCAAGAGTCACCTGTCTACGAGAATTTCTTCAAGGTCATTTTGTCAAATCCCCGCGCATTGACTGCGCTACTTTGTCACTTCACAACTAGTATCGTTTTGGTCAGCTTCGACACTACGTTGCCTCTTCACGTAAACGATGAGTTTGGCTGGGGTACTGCACAAGTCAGTCTTGTGTTTATGATTTTGCAGCTCCCATCTCTTTTATTGAGCTCTCTGGTCGGTGCGTTAAAGGATAGAGTGGGACCGAGACTCCCTGCAGGGGTTGGGTTTTCTTTAACTGCAATTTTTCTGGTCTTGATGGGCATTCCTAGCCGTCGCAGTGGATATACTGGGTATATTATCTACATGGCAGCTACTGGTGGCGTTGGTGTTGCAAGGGCATTCACTGGTGGTTGTAGTACTATTGAGATGACAGGTTAGACTGAGTCCCTACGTTAGATACCCTACTTGGTTTTCTTACTAACAACGCATGTCTTATTCAGACTTAATGAAAGAACTCGAAGAAGAGCGCCCGGGTCGGTTTGGACCCAATGGCAAGCTATCCTCCGGATACTCCATGACCAACTTCTGCTGGGCTCTGGGTAAGCTGATAGGGCCCATTGTGACAGGCTTCATGATAGAAGCAGCGGGATATCTGTACATGAATATCGCCCTTGGTAGGTTGCAAATCTTGGCTCGCAGTCCATTAAATTACTCGTTTGCCAGCATATACTAAGATTTTCCTTTTCTTTCTCAGGAATGCTATGTTTCGTAACTAGTGTGCTCTCATTTGTCTTCCTCGGAAAAGGATGGATATCTTATTAATTGTGTGCAAGTCGGATCAATCGTTCCAGCGACTTGGGTTCTGAGCGTTGTTCTGGGCGCTTTTATGGGACTGCTGTAAATAGAATAGGTCGTTAGACTGGTACTAGTCCGGGTAGTTATGCTAGATGAGGCTTATGAGCAATCTAATTCAAAGCAAATCCCAAAAGCTCGTATTTTAGTGAGGACATCTTAATCAATTACTCCCTTGCACTAGACGCACAAAATCCAGAACAATGGGCTATTCGCATTCCCCGTGTAGAAATGGTCACAATAGTCTATTCGGTTGTTGTGCAGCCCAATATTTCTCAGACACTCTGCAGACATTTCTTAGTGTGGTTGGGTACTGGACTGTGATGCACATCACTCCGGTGACGGAAGAACGTTTCATTTTCCGGCGTGGATGGAATGTATATGATTTCGACGCTTGGAACAATTGGCAAGCATGGTGCCAATACAGGGCACGAGTTGGCATTTGCGTTTTCTGGGGTCGTATTCCTTCTGTTCCGGTGGATTGGAAAACATTATGAGGGCCGGTGATGAATCGTTGTCATGTTGTGGCATTATATTGTTTCTGACTCATACCGCTTGATATCTCAGTCAGGTCTCCCTGGCATAGATGGGCTTTCTGGAAAGAGACCCATGTTTGACATAAGATCCCAATCCCCATTAGCCGAGATCCCCAATCCGAGAAATTCCGGGAAATAGTAATTGTTAAGTTCGCCAAGTAGCTCGTCTGCTTGCGGATTTGCTGGCGGTAGCTCGACGTGCGGTCGTAGTTTTTGTTGCACCTTCGTGATGATATTTCCCAGAGTATGCGCCGCATGGCATGGTAACCCAATGCAATTTAGCCACTGCACTAAGTCACGTACGAGCAACTCGAGCTCGTCGATATTGTGAGTCGAGGCCACCTGGTCTTGGTGGGCATTCAGTAACCGGCAGATGACAATCGCTGCAAAGGTGATCATGTGATAGATGTGATCGGTCAAATGGCGGGTGCGCTCATCTACTGTATCCATGGCCAGTTGCACAATTTCCGTGGCGTGGCGAATCATTTCCGACACGATTGGTTCCCGGGCTCGGGCAGACTGGGCTTTTAGAGCATGTTCGTAGAGAAGTAGATGGGAGAAATGGAAGCCCATTGAGAGAAACTGAGATCTCGGTTGCTCTGATCGCAAAATTCATTAGCAAGAATGAGATAATATAAAGCAAGTGTAACATACCAAGCACAAATTCCCATTTTCGTCGCCAGTCCTGCAAAGCTGCCACTGCTTTCAGCAAATCAACCGACTCATGAACGAGGTGCTCATATACAGTCCAGTAAAGATAAATCTCGGCCACCATGCGCACTTCAAAATTTGTCGCGTGGTCTGAAGAAATGATAGCACGGCATCGCTCGATTTGCCAGGCTTGTAGCATGGATCGACGGCTGGTTCCAACACAATAGTGCATATGAGCAAGACAGAGATGATTCCACAGATAGCAACTGTTCGTAGTTTCTCCGTCCATTCTATTTGGAGGATGAGATTGGGTCGTGACAGCAGTAAATAGCGGACTCGAATGGGAGTGCTGTAGGGCGAACCCACTCAGAAGCCAGCTATCAATACTTAAAGGCACCTGTCCGACAGTCGTCGACCACATAGACAGGATCAAGGTAGCCTGGAAGAACTCAATGGGCTGCGGCGCAACTAGTAGAGTGTCGGAAGCAAGAGAGCGGGCATACTCATACAACTTAGGAGCAAGGCTTGCGGCTAGTTCCTCAGAAGTGTGCCGCACAGCAATCAGAGAACAAGCACAGAATAGCAAGCTCGATCTTTTTACTCGGCGGAGAAGCTCACTTGGCTCACAATCGGGATCGAAGAGAACCCATCGACCGTAATATTCGAGGAAACTGAGAAAGGGTTAGTGATAATTTGTCACGATAAAACAATTCATATAGAAGGGCAGCATACATTGTGATAAGTTTAAGTGAAAGTTCAGGCGAAATTAGATCGTCCAATACCACCCCTAGAGATCTAGCATCGGACATTGGTTTGATTCCGTTGTCCGTTGCTAGATCGCGGATGACCATGATCGGGGCCGTGGAGGATTCTGCGTCCTTATACGCACCGCCAGACCCCGGGCTTGTCTGCACGGGGGTAGGCCTACTCGATTCATGACCGGGAGCTTTTGCTGGACCTTCTCCAAGTCGATCGAGGAGAGTAGCCACCGTCTTTTCGAGACGTTCTAAACTATGGAGTCCCGTCAGTTGGGGAGTAAGCATGAGCTGCAGGATTCATACCGAGCATTCGTCCCAGGTGCGGGGACGACGGTTTCCTCGTCAGAGGTCATGATTTGAACGAGCGAGCAATTTTGGTGAAGTCGTTCGCATCGCATACATGCTCGTCCAGGAACCCCGGCCTCATAGCATCTGGTCTTTTGTTTTCTACATGAGGTGCATGCTCGAGAGGCACGACCCCGATCAGGCGGCATTCTGACCAAACAAGCGGAGACTGACTCCTAGAAATGGGAATCGAGCATACAATAATCCAAAACTTGAAGTCTATGTAGACAACAAACTACAACTAAGATGGGAATTAGAAGATCACCTGATGCCTCGGGTAGGGATAAAATAGGCTCCGGTCAGTCGATATTGGCCTCTACAAATATATAACTAGCTCGTTGCATTTAATGATTTATCTAACTTCTCCTAGGTCAAATGTAAAAAATGACTTGGCATTTAACTATTTCATAAATTGTTTCGTCTGTTTATATCGTATACAGTGTCTAGAAATCCATGCGCAATGCTATACTCGGCACAGCCTGGGGAGCATTGTCTGCCGCATCAGCGCCAGTCTTCGAAGCAACAGCCCCGACTCCGACACTACGAAGGACCTCCTCTAGAAGTGATTTCTGGTCTGCGTTCATGGTAGCCACCAGGGTCCGGAAAGTAAGCTGGTCAGCCTTGGCAAGCTCGAGGAGATGGCCCGCGGATTCCTGGTGCACGGCCTCGCCTTCACGCTTAGCCCGTGCCAATAGTGCCGACATGATGAGAGAGGTAGCGGCGGGCATTTCAGAAGCGGAGAAAGTTGTGTGAGAGACACAAGACACGAGCGTGCGAGCAACCACTGTGCGGGAGTTTTCGGGGTCGCTGGGGATATCGCCATTGTCCAGAGGGCAGGCAACCGTGAAAGCGATCAATCGCGGGACGAGGTATCGGCCGATTACTTCGTCGGTAGTGGAACGAGAGCCTGGCTTAACGAGGATTGAACGGAGGCAGCTAGCTGCCACGGTGGCAAGACCGACGTCTTGGAGACAGTCGAGCAACTCATCTAGAACTCGGATCAGGACTGGCTCCTGAGGCGGGATGACGTGTGCGCCTGCAGTCAGGAGGAAAGTGATGGCGAGGAGCGTGTTCTTAGCGCAGGGAATAGAGATATCCGATTCTCGTCGCTGAGCGATGGTAAGAATGGTCAGGAAGCGTGTGAGACATCCTCGAAGCTGGAATGACACGACCTCAAGGTCTTCGGGTGATTCCGTTGTGTGGGTGATGCCGTGAACGAACTGCCTGAAGATGGGAAGAGCTTGCGGCACCACGCCCGCTTGGCAGATTCCTGTTGCAAGGATAGTCGTGAAAATATGTAGGATACAAGCATGGAGATCGTTGCGGATGATGGATGGGAATACGGATGCAACATCGACGAGAGAACGAAGTGCTAACCGTATGAGAGTCAAAGACTCATCCGAAGTGACGTTGAATCGTGCAAGTGGGGTCGACTCGCGGAGGTTGGGAAGCATTCCAGCAAGAACAAGAATGATGCTTCTTGTGAGCTCGAAGAGTTGCTCGATGTCATCGGACAGATGGTCACTACGTTCGAGATCACCCTTTGCTGCCGGGTGATCCAATGACAGGTTTTGGGCAATCTCGACAATGACAGTCTGGATGGGGGTAGCTTCTGTCAACACAAGACGATCGAAACTGTCCATAGTCTCTGTGAAAATTGCATCTTGGTAGATGGCATTTCCAGAGATGATGGGTCTCAGGATTCGCTTCAGAGCCTGAAGAATCTCCAATCGTTGTGATGCCGAAGTTCCTTGGTCAACCAAAGATTCGAAAGCCAGTCCGAACAAGACAAAGAAGAAGGCGACCGGCTCTTCGCGGTAATTAATATCGTGTCCTTTTCCTTCGTCCTTCTTGATGGCTTTCTCTTGTTTCTCCTCGCCCTCGGCGATCGCAGCGCCAATAGACTCCTCGGGTAACTGCAACTTGCCATCCAAAGCATCGAAAACAAAGTCGATGTCTTTCTCGACGAGCCCAGCAATCGCATCAACCAAGTATAACCACGTGTCTTGGTAGAACTGAAAATATGATTAGCTTCCGCCGGGTACAATAGGCATATCGGGGCTTACCTTCAACAAAGTCTCACGATTCAACGCGGCATACACCTCATCCAGATCACCGCTTGAGATTGTCCCCAAGCTACCGGAGATGTCTGGCTCAAAGCGCAATCGAGCAAACTCCTGAAGAGAAGAAAGCCACAGAGGAGTGAGTTTAGCAATGTAAGGTTGGACCACCTGAGTCAAGTACTCCTGGTCGATGCTTGCGATCTGGAGCCGGGCCCAGGCCGAGAACAGAGCGAGTTTTACCATGACTCGAGCATTTGAGTTTAGACCCTTGAGATCACCGATTTCAGTAGTCTCCGGGTTCTTCGCGAAGTTCTCCAAGCCCAGCACCAAAAGCTTCAGGATTCTGCCCATACGGTCGACATTTGTTACGATTCCTGTGGCAATGAAAGTCGCAGACACATTAATAGCCTCTGACGCCAGCTCCGCGGAGGAATCAGCAGCAAAGGCAGGAGTAAGTGCAGACCCGATCTGGGCTTGATACTGCTCGAGGAGCGATGCTTCAGCAAAGTCAGGATCCGGTGTCTTGCCAAACATGGTAAGAACCTGATCGATGATCTTTAATCCCCATACGCGCAGCTCAATCACATTAGCAGTAGATGCCGAAAAGGCCATTCTGACAATATCTCCCACGTTTTTCTGGAGAGCCAACTCCGCTGGGATGGCAGAGTCTGGGAGGATCGCCTCTTGGACAGTAGCAAGAAGTTCGGAGAGACAGCTCATGGCAAAATTGCGGGTCTGCCATTTTAACAATTCTTGGCCGGAGATGCTTTCATTCGCAGCGTCACCTTGCCCTTCCCCAGCAGCTGAGGCAAAACCGGCAACTTCGTCATCGGGGATATCGGCAGCCGTATTTTGAACAGCCGTGGTAGGCACAGGCTCCGCCTTGTGGCGTGTCTTCGTCATGATATTTTGACAACGTTGGATCCACAACTCGGTTTCTGTCAAAGCAGTCTGTTGTAGCCAGTCCTGAACCATTGACTTGAGCGACTTGTTGTTCGGCGCTTCATCGAATGCAAGCCAAATGTCATCTTCTAAAGACTGACCCACCGTTTGCACCACAGACGATGCGTCTCGTTTCATAAGATTGTTGAGTCCACGAACTGCCACATCTCGCATAAGGAAGTTGCTTGCTCGAAGCTCGGTCTGAAGTCGCTTCACGTATGCCGCCATGTCGACATAACTAGACGCATACATCGAGAAGTGGTCCAAACATTTGGAGCTTTCCGTGACCAATGCTGGGTTGCCCTCCAACTGGAATTGGCGAAGCAGTGTCAAAATGAGATTTCGGGTCTTCGCAATGTCTTGCAAGTCCGGCCCGAGAACATTGATGAGAGAGTCCACGCATCGACTGATCACGACAGGTGTCAAGAATGACATTTCAATGTTGGAGGTCGCCAACGCGGCTGCCTCTTCGTTGTGAGTGTCAGCGTTATAGAGTTGAGCAAGCATCCCCAAAGAGCCGGAGACAAAAGGCGAGAATGTCAATCCAGCAGAGTTGGCAACTCTCTCCAAGCCCCCAAGAGCCCAGAAATGGACTACAGGGTGAGGGTCATTGCACAGAGACATCAAAACGCCAACAATCGTTTTGAGGTGCAAACCAGCTGCCATTCCGCCAATTTGTGCATGGATGCATCCTAAGGCGGCAGCACAGCCAGCTCTAGCGTTAGGCTCTCTGTTCTCGACAATGGTATCAACAAGCCAATTAACCTGTGTATTGGTGCACGTGTTTCCAGCACTGTCGCAAAGTCGTCCGAGTGCTTCAACGCCGATTGTGCGAACAACGGGATCAGCATCTATGACGAACTTTTGGAGAAGCTCTTGCAAAATCTTATCAGTGGACGGATTTAGCTTGCCAGGCACGAAGTCTGTCTCCTTAACAGCAACTTTCAGAGTATGTAAAAGGGCGACCGAAATGTTGACGACCAATGCTGCTTTCCTGCCGGGGTTTCTTTGTAGGCCGGGAGAAGTGAGGAATGTAGCGATCTGTTCGACACTGCTTTCCTGAATTTTGGACGAGTGAAGAGCGAGGGCCACAGAGAACAAATCAATTGCCGAATTGACAACCCCAGTTGTTGGGGGATCAACAGCAAGCTTATCTCCATCTCGCAAACTGTATAGAAGAACAGCGTCATGCTCACTAGCTTGGCAAATAGGGAAAGTTAAGGTGTCGTCCACGACTTGGTCCACGGAATCAAGCGCAGACCAGGCGGGACTCTTGTCATCTTCCTGGTTGCCGGACAGTGTAGCATGGATATATTCTCGAGAGAGTCCGGTGACACCAAATCCATAATTATCACATAGATCCCATAGACCATCGAATTGTCCGGCGGAGCCTGAAATAGAGCTTTCTAGTTGCTTGTACTGAGCGTCTGGGTCTGCGAATGAGGAAATAGCCAGGCTGAGAAGACTGGACTGAGAGATGATGTCCCCATGACTAGGTGGGTGAACATGCACAAGCTTCGTGAAACACTGCAACACGCGCCGGCGCACCATAGTTGAATAATCTTGCAATTGCATTGATGGGTGCAGCCTTTGTGAGAGATCTTCCATAGCCTTCGGCTTAGGCAAGTTATCTAAAAATTCGACGGTATTTTGCAACATGGCTGCGATTCTCTTTGCGCCATCCGATGTGATCAATTTCCTGTTGAACTCCATGAACACCAGAAGCGAGCCCAGTGCACACTCCCGCACATGAGTCAGGAAACTGATCTCGACTGTACCTGGCTGCGCAGCATTTTCCTTGCCGAGGTGTTTGGGGAGTGCGTTCTTCCAGAGAAGCATCAATTGAGACAAATGCGTCTTGACGAAGCTGGGTCCGAGAGGCATCAAACCTCCAATCAGAATCCAGGCCACCTGGATTTGAATGCTCGCGACCCGAAGCTCGGAGGTGCTGCTCGTCTTGAGAAGATCGGTTGCCTGCGTAAAAACGCGCGCAAACACATCCACTGCCCCATACAGTGGTTGTAAACGGGAAGTGCTGAGCATTGCAGATAATCCATTGGCATACCCAACACACCGGCGAGGCGACTGGCGCGGTGTGCCTAGCTGTCCGATTTCCCTGTTCAAACTGTTCATGCAGATTGTCA